TACCAAACCTAGATCAAGTCCGATTATTGGACCCATTGGTTCACTCTTTCTGATACATAACCTCAAAAATACATAAGCTCAAAATTTCCAATATTTATATGTTGAAGGAATGCCCGATTTGAACTTAACATTGTACAACGTATTATCTTTGCCAAGCCTAGATTAAGTCCGGTCCACTCTTGCTGATACCTCCACCAAAAAAGGGTCAATATTTTATAAACTTTGAAAAGAAAATTGCATAACAAATTTGATCGATATTAATTACAAAACCGCTTTGATAAAAACATATACCTTTTATAAAACAAATAATAAAACCTGTGTGTAATTCCGAAGACCTCCTCAAACCATAAGCTATATATGTCTATCGGCAATACTGACTGACACATTTTTTACTTGTTGATTCGTAATTTGATTTCATCGAAAAAACAGAGTTTGGCACACCTAAATTGTATTCTAACGAAATTTTCTCGATAAGTTTTAGTCTTGGTAAGGGGGGGCCTATATAATTGGTCCCATCAGTATCTTCACGTATACCAATAATCCACGAATGCGTAAGGCTTAATCGCTATATTATCAATCTCAACCAACTATACAAATTCATTATAAAACAGACATAGGCTCCTCCATTTTTTTAATCATTTACATAAAATCGGACAAAAATATATGTGGGAGCTAAATCTACATCTCAACCGATTTCACCAAAACTTAACACATGTCTTTCTAGACTCGATATTCGATATACTTAACAAAATATCGTGGAAATCAAACAAGATCTATCGTGCAGCATTTACATAAAATCAGACTAAAGTATGTATGGGAGCTATATTTAAATCTGAACCGATTACAAATTTATCACAAAACATTGTAGATTAAATTTCATTTCTGCTGCCAAATTTCGTGAATATGAAAAAAACATAGGCATAGGCATTTACAAAAAAATCGGACGAAAATATATATGGGAGCTATATCTAAATCTGAACTGATTTCAATAAACCTTAACACACAACATTCTTGACTCAATTGCATTCGCTATGCAAACGTTCGTATAAATCGAAAAAGAGAGGCTCTTTGGTACACCATTTACAAAAAATGAAAGAAAATATATGTGGGAGATATTTCTAATTCTTAATCGATTTCAAAAAAAAAAACTTCAGATACATCAATAAGGACCATATTTAGTACTCTATGTAAAATTGCTTCTCAATTGGACAAATATTCAGAGTTTGGTGGGCTATTTACCAAACATCGGACGAAACTATATATGAGAGCTATATCTAAATATGAACCGATTTTCTCCAATCTCAATAGGATTCGTTTTTGAGCCATGTAAGTGACCCAAATCGGATCATAAATGCGACCGGTACTTTGCTCACAAAAATATATTGGACGGACGGACAGGTGTTGGTGTCACACAGTAGGTATGATCGTATAGAATTTTTATTGTCGAATAAAACCTACTCGATTCGACTGTCATAATTTGCCCCAATTTAATTTTGGGTAAGTAAGGCATTCTGTCTAGCCCTGTATGTCTAAGAATTACTTTTTCCAATGACTAAAAATGGTATGAACTTTTAAAAAATATTTTTCCAAGAGTCTCTGATTTTTTTTGTGAATAAAATTTCCAAGAATGAAAAGAGTCATAGTTTCATAAAAATATTCGAGGACTAGAAATGGACTCGATTTTTGAAGAATTTTTTATGTGAAGTGAAACAGGCGTGAATTTTTAATGAATGTTTTTGTTTTCTAAAGACTATTGTTCTGTTCCCGTACTGCAAGAATCTAGTACTTTTTACTAAGATAACTGATTTTACTTTATGATATGGAAGAAAATAGTAAAATGAGTAGATTCTTGCCTGGAGAATATCTGACTATAAAGAATACCAACCAACTGGCCCATTTATAGCTCTCCACATGGAAGGACACCACAATATTTTATACACATAGGGTTTCCACAAGAAAACTTAAATTTTATCTGCTAAAATTTAAAAAGAAAATAGTAATTTCATAAAAACAAAAATCTCAAATAGAAGTAAACATATTAACAGATTTCGAAACAGATTATAAAAGTGGGTCTCCAAGTGTCTGCAGGGAAAAGGAATTATTCAAACAGAAGTTATTTTATATGAAAGGGTGTACACCTTATTGTTAGGAAAACCCACCTCCACCATGAGGAACTAAAAAAATCCAGTGAAGCAGATCTTTTAAAATATGTAAAAACAGGGATTTATATTTGTTGCGACGGACTTTTTTTCACACCTGCAAAAATAGCTTAATCGGCTTTGAATTAAGTATATGGATTTGAACTCTAAGACGCAATATAATATTTCATTTGAAATAGAAACCAAGATTCAAATAGCTGCCAGGCTCAAACTGAATTAACTTTTAAGGTTATTCCTGTTTATTTTTTTAGAAATTCTCCGAAAGATCTATGGTCCGATCTGCGTTGACGGTGAATATCGCCGTCGAATGAACCATGAGTTGTACCAGCAGCGACTACTTTGGCTAGGTCATGTTGTGAGAATGGATGAAGATGCCCCAGCCCAAAAGCGAACCAGCTGATGGTTCACGCAGAAGGGAAGGCCACGAATAAGATGGAAATATCAAATGGAAGACAACATTGCCCAATATGGTCTTTCAAATTGGAAAAACTGTGCAAAAGACCGATGACATATCTGAATATATAGAACTTTTTTTGGTTAAGATCATAAATAATATTTTTCATAACATCCTAAGTCGGTTTTTTTAAGGGGAACCCGGAAAAGGTGTGTACTTTTTTACCAAAAATTAATTTTTTTAGGACCATGCGTGAATTTGTTAAAGAATATTTTTTCAGGGATCAAAACCAGGCGTAGATTTTTAAAAATATATATTTTTTAGGACCAAGTGTGAATTAAGAATATTTTTTTCAGGGATCAAGACAAGGCGTAGATTTTTTAAAGAATATATTTCCGAGGCCTACTCCATATTGACATTTGGATATGATTTAATCGATATAAAATTTAACTTGCATGGCATTTATAAAAAATTAATTTTCACACAGAAGTGAAACAATTTAACATAGATTTCTTTTTTTGTTAAATCAGGACCTGTTATGTTGGTCGTACAAAAACTTTTTTTTTGGTTCTAAATTGAAAGTAATTTGTTATTGTTATTAAATGATAATTCGACTTTAACAAAATTAAAATAAAATTATTTTCAAGAAAAAGCTAATGTACAAAAAATTAATTTTAAAAATTAAAATAAAAATTAGTTTTTGTTATATTGCAAAAAGTATTTCTTATTGTTGACGATTTTTTATATCACAAGCCATAATCATACATCAAGCGAACCAAAAAAAAAATTAAGTTAATATTTTTTCTTGCATCATCATTATTGTTGTTTTTTATTATTATTATTATTATTATTATTATATATTAAATAAATTAAATATTTAGAACAAAAAAATATTAAAAACAAAAAAATCTATATATACGTAACTAATTAATTAATAATAATGTACAAAATAAAAAATGATAGTGTATTCTAGTGTTTGGGGGGAGGTTGTTTTTGGGGAGAGTAGTTTCTTACAAAAAAAACAAACAAGCGAACAAACGAAAAAAAGACTAACTAACTAATAATTATTTATATATGTAAAAAAATTAAAATTAAAAAAATGTAAATATAAACATAATTAAATTGTTGTTGTTTTTTGTTTAAGGGGACCATAGAAAAATTTAAGGAGTGGGGGCAATGAATAATTAGTTAAGGAAAAAATGGGGCGGGGATGAATAATTAATTAATTAAGGAAAAAAAGGAAATAATATTGGGAAGCTCATTGTTGTTTGGGGGTTGGAGAAAAACATTAGTCGAAAATTATTACATATTACACTCACAGGAAAAAATATATGTAAACATAATATTATTATTTTTAAATATATGTATATCATTATCATTATTGTTATTATTATTTTAATCATGGTCACTTAATATATCACGCAAAATGCTAAGATCTTATATTTCTTTCATTTCATTTTCTTTTTTGTTTCTCTTAATTGTTTTTTGTTGTTTTAAACTTAAATCACTTTGTTGTTGTAGGTTTTTTCATATGACAATTAGTTGTTTTTTAGGGGAGGGCAGGGTGAGGGGTAGGGATATACAACTCAAAATGGAACCAAAGTTCAAAAATTCTTAATTGTTTTTTTTTTCTTTCCTTTTTTGTTGGGGAGTGGAGATTGTTTTTTCTTTCTTTTTTTCTTAAGACAAATATTACTTAACAATTTAAGAGGGGGGATTGTTTGTTGTTGTTGTAGTTTTTTGTTTTGTTTTTAATTTCTTATCATCTACAAATAGGTTATTAATATTTAAAGTAGTAGCTAGGTAGAGGAGGAGGATCATGGTTTACGTTTCAATTTTTCTTTTCTTCTTCTTGACATTCTCCAAAATAATAATTTAAAAAAATATATATATATATATAGAGTACAAATACAAAAGTAGTGTGTTCGTGTGTGTGTGTGTGTGCAAAACAATTAAACAAGAATTGTACAAAAATCAACAGCCAGCTGTAGGTTAGCACTAGACCTGTAGTGGAGGAGGTTCCTCACTCCCTCTCTTTATAAATATATCTCAAAGCACCACTTTTCATTACTTTTTTTGTTTGTTTTCCAACTTTTTCGAACTTTCTAATTTTTTTATATACAATTTTTTTCTTTCGCATATAATAATATATACTTATATATGTATGTATGTATGTATCAAAAAAACAAAACAATCAATTAAATATATAGAGGAGGTTGGTGGACTTTTCCATTCCATTTTTTTTTTTTTGTTTCTCCATCTAGTAACAGGTTTTCAAAATTCCTTGAATTTCCTCCAAATCCTGGCAGGCAGGCAGGTAGCATTCTCAACCTTTCCTCTCTCTTCAGGACATTCTCTTTTACAAAAAAAAAACCGGGTCAATTGGGTAAATGAGATAACATTTCTCTCTCTTTCGATTACTTCGATTATCCAAAATAATTCCACAACTACAGATTACCACCAGGATAACTGCCCACATTGCTGCCATTGCCACCGCCATTACCACCAAAATCTCCAACACCACCACCCCCACTACTACTACCATAGGAATGTGCCTGAGGTGGGGTAGCTGCCACACTACTGGGTGGGGTCTGGCTAGCTGCCATATCATTTATGTGCATAATTGTGGCAGCTCCACTAACAGCAATGGGTGCCGAAACATTACCCAACAACGATGTAGGCATTCCTCCTGCCATTCCCGGTGGCAATAACATATTCTCCTGCATTTGCTGTTCCATTTCCAACTGCTGCCTTTCCAATTCCATTTGTTCTTGCAGTTGTTGTGTTATCAGTTCTTTATTTGCATGCCAATACATGACGGGTATACTTAGCGTCGTGGTCAACGTATCATTATGTTCCTCCAGGGAATTTTGTGCATAATGTTCGACAAGTTTCTTCAGTGAATGATAGATGTTATAGGGCGCGGCAAAACCATAACCACTTTCTGTTTTATAGATAATACAATGATTGATACAATTTTTACAAACTATCGAGAGGGCATAGTGGCCGGCGGAACGGGCACGTATTAAGAATGTTCCTGTGGGAGCACCACGTAATAGATCTTCGGCACCCTGACGTGTTACATCCTTAAGGAACCACATTGATTCATCGTTGTGCGGTTGATTCGATTCGATTTCATAACGCTGTTGCCATGCTTCGAAGCCCATTTCTATTAGCTGTTTGATATCCTCTTCGGAGATGCCGAATTCTTTGAGACGTCTGGAAAGAAAAGAAAAGGGAAATTTGTTAAAAAAAAAATCAATAATTGTTCGTCTATCAAAATTCATGGTTGGCCATAAAAACTATAGTAAAATATTATTAAAAAAAAAATAAAAATATTAATATTCCTAACAAAATATATAAAATTAAAGAAAAAAAAAGTAAAAAATTAAAAAACATACCATAACAAAATAAAAAAAAACCAAAAAAAAAATTAAAAAATCATCAAAATATAAAATATTTCCCTAACTAAATCAATTTTAAAAATATTTTTAAATTATTTTATTTATTATTATTTAAGTTTTTATTTCTAATAATTATTAAAAACGTATTCTATTATTAAAAAATAATTTTTTCTAAAAAAATATATTGTAACCAATTTTAAAACATATTTTAAAAAATATATATCAAAAATTACAAAAAAATCAAAAAATTTTTTAAACAAATTTTTGCATTAAAAAAATATGAATACATTAAAAAAAGTTAAAAAATAATTTAAATTTAAAAAAAATGTTACAGAAAGAAAATTAAAAGAATATTTTAAAAATTTAGAAAAAATAAAAATATATATGGTGGAGGGTATAAACTATATTTTTCTCTGTTTAATTTTCTTTCTATGAAATTAAAATTCAGTATAAATTACTTTAAATTAAGATAAAGACGATACTCATATCTTCACCAATAGGTGAAGTGTATATCAACTGAGTAGGGTAAAAGTGAGAGGGCAAACAAAATTGTGTCAAATTATATTTTAGTTCAGACTACAACACACCACTCGACTCGAATTGTGTTTACGCCAGACAGAGTGACATCTACATCTCAACTCACATGATTCTTGTCTATGCTACATGCGCTCATGGCGGTTTTTGTCCGAACTAAAAATGTAATTTGACACCATTTGGTTTGCTTTCTCAATTTTACCCTACTAATTTTTAATAATTTTTATAAAAACCACCCGACGAATTGTGTCTATGTGTAAGATAACTAGGGTGACATCTACAACTCAACCCACATGATTCTGGTCTATGCTACATGCGCTCATGGTGGTTATTGTCTGAAATAAAAATGTAATTTGACACCATTTGGTTTGCTCTCTCAATTTTACCCTACTAATTTGCAATAATTTTATAAAACATCAAAAAAAAATACTCCAAAGAATTAAAAAAAATAATAAAAATTTATTTAGAAAAAAAAGGATTTTGGCATTTTTTGTAAATTAAAAAAAAAAAATTAAACATCACATTCTGAAAACCTTAATAGTAATTGATAAAAAAAAATACCAGTATCTAAAGATTCACTTTTTAATATTTAAATGTGTTAACAAAAGATATATATATTTCAAATAATGTAAATATTTTTAATTTGAAAAAAGTGTGTGTTTTATAAATTCCCCCTGATCTGAGAGATTTATTTTCAAAAAAAACGAACAAATGTTTCGCAATAATGTAATAGTCTGTGTGGTGATATCTCCAAAAAATTCAATGGCCTGGCGACATATATTTGTATATACATATATAAATATATAATATTAATTAAATAAAAACGTGTCTGTTGTCAGAAGATAAATGGTTACGGCTACTGTGTTAAGTGTCTGTCTGTTTGGATGAAATGTGTTCCAGAGATGGAGAGAGATCGAGAAAGAAAGAGGTGGATAGAGGGAGAGAAATGACAGCAAATATAGAATCAAGTTCATAGAACAATGAACAACCGGTTAATTTTTTGTTGCTTCTGTTGCTGTTGTTGTTATCTTCTACCTAATAAATATATAGCAATTATCTAATTTATAATATATTTAAACGTGTAGTCACTAGAGGTGACGTCGACGATACTCGTAGCTCCACAAAATCTCTAATAATTTTAATTTATTGCTTGTGACTCTACTACTACTATGACATCCCATCCGGCGATGAAACCATTTTTGGAATAAATTATTAAACAAAAAATTGCATTTAAATAAAATTGCCGGTAAATTGAGAAATTATTATTACAGGCTACTTGTGGGAGGTGCTGCATTTCAGCAATTTTTTTTTTAATTATAAAAAATAATATATATAACAAATACAATGTTTTGAGATTTGAAATTATTTCCTAGAAAAGATGCTAATAAAAAGAAAATAATTATCATATATAGGCCGGCCGACCGACCCATTGACTAGGGTACACAATGTGAACGATCTGCCTGCCATGTCATTTCCTAAATTAATCGGGTGTGTCGACGTCGATAGGCGCATTGTTAATAAAGAAAAAATTTGTTTCTAAAAAAATTATTTCTTATATCATACAACAACAACAATTTTTTTTGTTGTATGCACATTTTTTTTAAATGAAGGTTATTTCATCATTTCTTTATTGTTGCTGCTGCTTCGTTTCTAATTTGGCAAAAATGCTGTTGCTTTGGGGATAGCAGAATTCGGGGAATTCACTATGATTTTTTGTGGTTGTTGTTGCTGTTAATTTTCTAATATATATATAAGAAGATTGATAATAGGTTCATTGAACGCATAATACATGAACAAGGTTATTTCAACGTATGTATTGTCAATTTCATTAAGATACTTAGAAGAAAAAAAATAAATGCACAGTCATATGCAAAAAAAAAAAAAAAAATATTGAAAATTATTATTAGTGGATTAGTTCATGTGCATATTCGAAACGGGGGAATAATCACTAATTAAAATGAATGAGTGGAATAAATTTAAAAAAAAATAAATATTATAAGTATTACAATGGTCTTTAAAGAGGTGCATATTTTTTATTATCATTGGAAATGAATCATATTTTGTGGACTTTGTTAAGTATATATATTTGATGAGTTTGCATTTTAAGTGTATTTAATTTTTTGTTTTAATTATTATTCATTTTTTATTTGTTTTTAATTATTATAGTTTTTTGGTTTGCCACTGTAAAATAAATACATATTTTGTGTTCAATATTATGAATATGCAATACATTTTCGAACACCTGATGTGTGATTTGAGCAGACTTCTTAGAAAATAGAATATAAACGATTTCACAGAATATGGTAATTGAGTTAATATTCTTTCACAAATTACACGCTTTGTGAATCAATGAAAATTTTTATTTATTTTATGTCCTATCAGTTAACTTTTATTATATTTGGATCTGCTATATTTTCATTATATGAAATTCAAATTCAGTAGTAATTACTTTAATTTATGATAAACAAATATAAGGTGGAGTGTATGAGTAGGGTAAATGTGAGAGGGATAACAAAATTGTGTCAAATTATATTTTAGTTCAGACTACAGCTCATCACTCAACTCGAATTGTGTCTATGCTAGATAACCAGGGTGACATCTACAACTCAACACACATGATTATTGTCTATGCTACATGCACTCATGGTGGTTATTGTCAGAACTAATGAGTCATTACGTTTATAACACCCACGTCTTTGGAAATTTCTTGAAAAAATATTTATTTATTGGAAATTTTCGTAAAAAAAATATTTTTAAAAAAAACCACGGAAATTATATTTAAAAAAAACGGCTATATAGACTTTACAAAAATAAAAATACAGATAGGCTTTGCAAAATATGTTTCAATATATAGTTGTTTTAATTTAAGATAATTTGTTATGTGAGTAGGGTAAAAGTGAGAGGGCAAACAAAATGGTGTCAAATTATATTTTAGTTCAGACTACAACTCACCACTCGACTCGAATTGTGTCTATGCCAGATATCCAGGGTGACATCTACAACTCAACGCACATGATTCTTGTCTATGATGCATGCACCCCTGGCAATTATTATCTGAACTAAAATGTAATTTGACACCATTTGGTTTGCTCTCTCACTTTTAGCCTACTAATGTGTCATTATGTTTATAAAACCCCCGAAATATCACTCGATGGCTCCACAAATTATATATATTCTCCAACAGATTAAAAGTCCGTCCGTGGGTCAGTTGTAAAACTCAATAGACCCATATAGACATCCCACTCCATTATAGATATTTTTGAAGGATTTTTAGCCAAATTTTGAACACAGTGGAGGCTGTAAATAGGCATTTTGGGTTGGTGGAGGACGACAAAACATCTCTGAAGAAAATGTTCAGTATGTCATGTTCTGACATAGCCTCAATTGTCCCACTGAAATAGATGTACTTTGGCATTCAGGGTTTCTGCAGGGAAAATTTCCTGCGTTTTCACTACCAAAATGTCTGAATATTGGAATTTAGAGTTTCCAGAGCGAGAATAACATCTCGGCAGAAATTGTTCGTTATTCGATCATATTGAGACACAAACCTGATATAAAGTTTCTACCACATTTTCAGAATTTTAAAGGGATTCAGGGTCCGGTATAAAGGTCACACCCCATTTTCGATATTTTAAAGGTTTTAACCGAATTTTCCAACAGAAATGGCATTTCGGATTCCTAGCTCTTCTCATGTTTCTACATAGCACATGTACTAAGGTTCCGCATAATTTTCGAAATGTTTAAGTTTTTAGCACAATTTACAAAGACATAGCCCCCATATAAAGGTTCGACCCAATTTTCGATATTTTCAATGTTCTAGCCACAAAACATTGCAAAAAACAAACATGTCAGGAGAAAATGTTCAATATAGGTCCATGTTCTGACATGGCTTTGTACAAAGATTCCGCCCAATTTTCGGCATTTCGAGGTTTAGCCGCATTTCCCACCGGATTGTAGTTTGGCTTTCAGGGTTCCTGGAGGGAGAAAAATGTCTTTGCAGACAATGTTCGATATGCGTTTTGACATAGTCCCAATATAAGGGACATGTCAATTTTCGGTATTTTTAAGGTTCATTTTCCCCACCGAAGTTACGGTAGTTTGGCCTTCAGGGCTAATGGAAAGAGAATAATATCTCTGCAGAAATGTTACATTTTTTGACCACATTCTGACACAACCCCGATATAAAGGTACCATCCAATTTTCGATATTTTAAATGCATTTAGGGTCCGATATAAAGTTCCCGTCCTATTTTCGACATTTTAAATTTCGACGACATATCCC